GGGGACATTAAAAGCATTTTTGAGTGCTCGAACACCACGTACATAACTTTGCCATTGTACTTCGGGCCAATGTGCATGTCCAACATTGCTAGCTGGAACACCTGTACCTTCAGCTTCAATACCAATTGCATTGGCATTTGAATATAACGATGAATCAGTAACTACACCAGCATGGTAACAAAGACCTGCTGCAACGACATACCATGTACCGGTACGACCTAATGCAAGTTGTGAGAGTGGACCACGAAGACTCGAACTACCATCACGAATAAAGTTCAAGGAAGGCATATCGCCACTTGCTGGACCAGCCGTATGATGAACAATAATACTCTTTACAGAAGTCATTTGCCCATGACCACGCGTCGTCCAACCACTAACTTCTACGACCTTAAGACCAGCATTGCGTAGGATTGTAGCTAAATTAGTTACCATCAATCTTGATTGGGTACCATTATTTGCAACATATGATATATTCGTAACGAAAGGATTTGCAACATGAACTAATGAGAGACAGGCTACAATGGATAAAACTCCAAATATCATGTCAATACTATTAATATAAAGAACCAAATGTTTAGTTGATGTAGCACTCGGATGTCTAAAGAAATCAAGACAAAATATTACTGGATTTTAAGGTTTTCGTGTATCGCCAACAATAACTTGCTTACCTCAATTGTTTTGACGCATAGAAGATTGATTGCTACTGCTTTATATATGTATCAGTTGTTAAGAAAAAACTGGATTGGAGAGAAAAATCATTAAAAATTAATTAAATCTGGCTAAACATAGAGAAGACGTAGGTAGAATATCATATATCATTGTCAGGCGCTTCGTATTAAATAAGTTTCTTTCAATTGTCGTATTGAAATTCAGATATGAGAATGAAGATTAGTTGTATGTAGTTTTTACTGAAATGAATCTTTAGTTACGAAATACAAAAGACTAAGTATACCTACTATTTTCTACATATAGTGACTTGAAATCTTTAGAAATATAACTCATATCATATTCAGTTACATTATTAAAATAACGTACATATCTCTCACAAAAATAACTTTATATGATTGACAGTTAATTGTTTCAAAATATCGAAAAACACAATTTTGTTTTTTATGAAACACACATAATTACACGTGTATCGTTAGATTATTCAGATGTTTTATGTGCCCAGAAAATTGATACTTCTTCTAGATCATTATGTTCGTTTTGTTTTTCTCTTTTTGTCATATTTTTGGAGTTCGTTTAGTTGATATTTATATTTGTAGACAATAATTAAGTCGATTACTTGTAAATTGATACCTTCCAAATGCACGTTAAATATGAATGCAAATGATTTGAGAAAAAGAATATTGAGAAGATAGGAAATTCATTGTAAAAGAACATCGAATAAAATATTTCGTCTAGCAAAAATCTAATATAAAATATTAAAAATTTTTATCAATGAATGATTTGACATACATAGATCGAGCTTTCTTAACGCTATTAAATTGAAAATTTATTGTTTGTTGTTTTAGATCATGTAATAAGAACTTATGAAAATGTACTTTCCCTATGCAGTA